AAATTAAAATGTAGGACAATAATTACAACTAATTTCATTGAAATAAAGTTCAAGTAAAATGTTGCTCAAGCACAAATAACAATGCACACATAAAAAGAATGTTTGGGAGGTTGGAGAAGGAGTCACACATACGCACACACACACACACACACAAACACACACACACACACACACACACACACACACACACACACACACACACACACACACACACACACACACACACACACACACACACACACAGGTATTTCCAGTTACTTTACATTCAGTATAAAATCACAGACACACATATACATAGGCTACATCTGATTACAAAGTCTCATCTGTACAGGACGGTAACATAATAACAGGCACACATATAAATACATCTATGACAAAGTCTCATCTGTACAGAACAGTATGATAAAATAATCGATGGCAAAAACATGTCACTGTAAATGTCTCCGTTGTGGGACGAATAAATGATTAATGTAATCCTCTACACATGTAATCTCACTTTTACACACCAAAATAACGTTAACACAGAGTAAACGTTTGCTAATGGAGTCTATTTTGTCCAATAAAAAGTTCATGACTATCGATACAAAATATATATCAATAAACCTATTGTTCATTTTCGCGGTATTCCCCACACATTGCCAGTACACTATTACTGTAATATTTACACTTACCCATGTCCAAATGGATCCTTGTTGTTGTCTTTGTGTTCTTCTTCTTCAGAAGAGTCGAAGACTTCAGGTTCTGAGGCTCTATCTTCACTGCTGCTAGCGAAATAAATCTCTAGCGAAGTCGGCAACGGCAACGTTTTTTTTAGCCATTTTCTCTGTCTCTCTCTCTCTCCTCACAGACGTAAACTGATGGGAGACACGTGGTTTACATTTTCTTTACTTGGTGGGTAGGTCCTTAGTGATTTCTCGATGTCCATTGGTCATTTCAGACCATCATGGCTGCCGGCCGAGAATTCCTTGACGGACACACGAATCCACCAATCCCACACAGTGTAAAGTCAAGCTGCTTTGAGTGGCCATATTGGCTGCTGTGCCCTGGGCTGCTTCTCAGGTCGATTAAATGAAATCCTTGCTTCCCTCACTTGCGTCGTTTCCCTGCGTTTAGTCCCTCCCACCAGGGAAGCATGGAGGGACGCAAGGAAACCACGAGAAGCAGGGAAATGAGTTTTAAGAGCAATGGGACGTCCTTTCCTCCGGAGCGTCACGTGAAGCGACGTCCGTTTGTGATGACGGTGCACAGCTGATCGTCTGACAGCAGCCAGCTCTGTCCCCGTTATTTCCACACACACCCCCGCCTCTGTTAGTGCACATTTACTGACACAAACATTTGTATCATCTGTTGTAGATCCCAATAAATAAAATAAAATAAGAACTCATTCTCAAAAAAGATAACGCCATTCTTAAAATGTATAAACGAACAATAGTTTGATTAATATTGATTAGAGTGCACAAAAGAAATAAAATAATTGAGAGAAGAAAAAGAGATATGTTATCTATCAAAACCCAGTTAGATTAACATTCATTGGATTGCACACTTTGTGTGTTTGTGTGGATATGTAGCACATTAACATTTTAATAGCACTTAATGACTGACTGAATGGAAATGACAATAAATGAAAATGTAAAACGAAAAAAGCGAAATTAAAATAGTTAATAGCCCTGGGCTGCTTCTCAGGTCGACTATTTTAATTTCCTCGCTCCTCGGTCCTCGGTCTCACCGGAAGTTGATTTGCCTGCGCCATCTTGAGTACCGTCCCATGGCTCTTATTTCTGCCGGAGGACCGAGGAGCGAGGAGCGAGGAGCGATAATGGAGGAGCGATAATCGAGGAACCACCAGACCATCCTCCGATGAAATCCTCAGATACTCGCCCCGCCCCCTTACTGTGTATCTCTCACTGATTGGACGATGCAGTGCATGCACTGATCTCATGCTTCTTGACATGAGAGCCGTTTTCCAGTGGAGTGAAGAAAATACATGAACCTCACGGGAGTCACTCCTCAGTTTATACCGTGTTTTGTTTCAATTCCTGTTTCATTTAGTTACAAATATGTGATATATCTGAACAACAAAGTGGTCAAAAATCATTTTATTCATTTGTTGGAAACATTTTCATGATCGCTTTTTTCGTTTTACATTTATTGTCATTTCCATTCAGTCAGTCATTAAGTGCTATTAAAATGTTAATGTGCTCCACACAAACAAACAAACAAACAAACAAACAAAGTGTGCAATCCAATGAATGTTAATCTAACTGGGTTTTGATAGATAACATATCTCTTTTTCTTCTCTCAATTATTGTATTTATTTTGTGTACTCTAATCAATATTAATCAAACTATTGTTCGTTTATACATTTTAAGAATGGCGTTTATCTTTTTTGAGAATGAGTTCTTATTTTATTTTATTTATTGGGATCTACAACAGATGATACAAATGTTTGTGTCAGTAAATGTGTACTAACAGAGGCGGGGGTGTGTGTGGAAATAACGGGGACAGAGCTGGCTGCTGTCAGACGATCAGCTGTGCAGCGTCATCACAAACAGACGTCGCTTCACGTGACGCTCCGGAGGAAAGGACGTCCCATTGCTCTTAAAACTCATGTCCCTGCTTCTCGTGGTTTCCTTGCGTCCCTCCATGCTTCCCTGGTGGGAGGGACTAAACGCAGGGAAACGACGCAAGTGAGGGAAGCAAGGATTTCATTTAATCGACCTGAGAAGCAGCCCTGGTTACAGTCTCCCATGAGATACCGCTGGAAAGCTACTCTTCCAGCGATTCCGCGGATATCTGAATCATATTTCTACTCTTTATAATCGAAAATATATGATTAATTACGGAAAATTATGCGCACCTGGACGCGCCGGCGCGTCCACCGAGGGTTACTTGTATGTGTGTAGATTAGAAAGAGGTAAGATAAAGGATCTGCAGTATTTTATGAAGTATTAATCGTACAAAGGTCAGTTTTATACAAGTAGAAGTGTGTATTTACCTGGTAGTAGGCTGTCAGTAATGGCTACGCCTCTCTATTTGGACTGGTAGATCTCGGCAGACTGGCAACTTTAAAAGTAGCTCTCGGTTCAAAAAAGGTTGGGCACCCCTGGTCTAAATGCTGGAATGGCATGGCTAGTTAAACAGAATAAACTAGATTATTCCAGTTCCACAACCAGGATACATGTTAGGTGTGTGAAAGCATTCACGTTCTGACTAATCTATTCTCAACCTGAATTTCATTTGTGTTCCAATTTGTTCTAACAGGAGGCTCTTCTTTGTTGCAATTCAAATGTGCAGTTTAAGTCGCTTTCATCTCGCAGCTCGTGGAGGGGGATCTTTTTAATTTGATGGTTGTTCAGTATGATGAAAGACTGGAGGCCAGCGTCAACAATTCATAAAATCAATTAATCTTTTTTACATTTCAAATAAAATTGGCCGCATACTGAAATAATTAAGGAAAATAAATGATGTGGATAGAAACAGAGTTTGCACACACTGTTTTAATAAGCTAATATCATTTTGTTTTGTAGAGATTGTGTTAAAATAATTAATTCGAAGTGAGTAAGTTCTCTAAAGGCTGAAGAAGTTTATTAAATGGAGCAAGCATTGATATATGTGTGTGTTTGTGTGCCAAATGCAATGTAAGCTGAATTGAAGAATTGAGTTTAATGCCGAAATGACTTGTTATATGCTTATTCATATCCCTTGTTGATCTTTTCAGTTTTAGCAAAGCAATCAATGTGCGGTCGAGCGGCTCCTGGCTCCATAGATTCCCGATGTGTAATGCGAAAACAGAAATGTTGCAGTATGACTTATTTTTCATGCTGTTCAAATAACACTTACTCCTCTTGAGATATGGAATCCGTGGGAGCATCACTTCCTCTACAATCTCACTCTCACACAGCATGAGAAGGAACAGATACGTTGGCACTGTGCTAATGTTGATGTCCTTTGCTCAAATACAAACAATCAAGTAAAACATTTTGCAGATTGTACTTCAGATTCTGGTTATGACTCAGCTACTGTTCTTATATTTCACAATGGCTTAAATCAATGTGCATAATTAGTGTGATGGTTGCAAATTGCGAGCTTCTGATACCACTTATAACCTTTCCAAAAGAGGGTCGCAGAGAAAATGTTTTAACACATTTTGATGAAGCATTGTGTTATCAGCCCTTGCCTTCATGTATTGTTCAATTAAATTAGACACATATAGGGAATTACTTGTCACGTGGTAACTATTGCTTGTGTATGATTGTTTTGGATTTTATCTTTGAACTCTGTATTCTGTTCAGCCTAAATTGAGAAATATGTCTAGAAAATCAAGTACAACCTGGTTCATTTGGAAATGAAGTATTTAAAAGGTTGCTAAACATTAGCTAACATGTATTCATTTGAGAAACCTTTTCAGGCAAATTCAGCCCAGATTATAAAGTATCCCTTCTCTACTCTACAGAGTTATTTTTACTTCGATTATCTTCCAGAAAATTCTCAGGCTGTAAACATTGAACTTTTACAATTGTTCTGTTTTTCTGAAACTCAGACATATTCTGATTGGAGAACTTTGTCTGACTCAAGACTTGATTGGATTGATCACAAGGTATTAAAGTCTGAACAGTGTGGCTGTATTAGTATTTCTACTACACAGCGTTTTTGGTCTCCTTCATTTGTAGATTGAAAAAAAAAGTGGTCAATTTCTCCCGGAGTCTATGTCCTAACCAATTCTAAGCTTTTTTTAAACTGAATTCCAGCCATGCGCATTTAGATTACATTCATCAATTTACCGTGATCAAAGATAGCAACCTTGCTTTCATAAACTTGTCATGACTGCGTTTAGTTTGATTATACCACCAGAGAAATGGTGGTGGCATTAGAAAGTGCATCACATAGATCCAGCTCTGTACTCCTTAGAGAATAGAAAGTCTCGAGCTATGGTTCCTTGTTTTTATCTTTGTTTGGTCCATCTAACTTAAGTTTCTATTTTTCTATGTCTTCCTCTTTAGTGTCAGCCAGTGACTGTGACTCCGAGGAGAACGCAGAGTTGACCTACTACACCCTGAGTCCAGACTTCACCATCTCCCCCCATGGGACCATCTTCCCTGCGGGGCCTCTGGACTTCGAGAGGCCCAACCACCTGTACGAGTTCGTAGTGATGGCGATCGACAAGGGGGAGGTTCCTCGCACCGGTACAACCACCGTACGGATTCGAATGGTAAACGTCAACGATGAGGCGCCTGAGTTCTCCCAACATATGTAAGTGAAAGCCGGGCTTCTACATTTCTGATTGTCATCTGATTACCATCATTCATTCTGAAAAGCAGTTTTGATGGTATGCAATGAAATTAAGGTTTATTTATAACCTCCCATTACTGTAAGAATCCTCTGTGCTAGTGAGGGTGAGCAGGAGAGGCTGATAAAAATACAGCACCGTGTTCCTCAGAAGAACCTCACACCACAATGCCCTGGATTCTCTGTTCTGGAAAGCATTTTTACAGGCAAATAATCTGGGTCAGTCTCTCGAAATAAAATTATTTTGGGTGCCAGGATGATTCATATATATTATCCTGCAGACATTTCCAGTGCATATGTGACCTGCTCTGTCAATCAGTCGGATTTCACAACGGCGCATTCTGAGATAATGGTGGATTTGAAAAACGTGTGTTTTGGTAATTTGAGGGTTTTGGTTTTCTAAATCAAGTCTTGGTTTCTTAGAATGTCAAACTTGTATTGCCCTATTCAGACGATAAATACATTTTTAAAGACAGGCTGTTAACTTTAGCGATCATCGTCTTCTCTCAATCTGATCAGCATTGCTTCCCCATCCCTCCCTACACTTCTGTAAAATAATGAGTGAAAGGCTGACAATGCCACGGCAAGGGGCTACAAACTTCCCGCTGCACTTTCCCTCATCCGAGTAAAATAAACATCCACCTTCCTCAATGCTCAGGCTTAAAATCGGTACAATAGATGGATCTCCACCAACAATAAGCTGCTGACTGTTCCGGGTCGATGTGACTGATTTTGATAGACCAGGTCACATTTTTAACATACAAGGCACTCTAGTCCGAAGAGAAACCCACATTAGTTCAATTTCAGCCGTCAGCTGCCAAAAGTATTTTGTCAGGACCTTGGAGAAAATGTGTAGTTATTTTATATGTGTTCTTCTGTCCTGTTGATCAAATTGACTTGTGGTTGCTCCATCTATCTAACTCTGTCTTCATCTTGACCCAATTTAGGAGGCCAATGCATGCAAGGTCTGAAGAGAAATAGGTTAAAGATAGTAAACTGAAGAATAGTAGAGAGAGACAGAGCTTTATCAGGTCAGCTCCTCACAGCTGCTTCCCGAATCAACGCTACAGCTGCCGCTACTCACAATTCCAGTCCACAATTCCCCCCCCCCCCTACAGTGCTGCTATGGCGCCTGCATCTTTTAATTGGTTGATTTTCTGGCAGAGAGCTGGGCAGATTGGTAAGGCAGGGTCAATCAGCCGTTCCCACCAGCACCCTCAGGAGGCCCCTAGCCCACACTCTGCGTCTGTTCCTGAGTGTGTGATTGTGTGTGTGAGAAGTAATTGAGTAGGTCCCAGCAAAGTGGGGTGTTGGTATGGACAGAGTGATGTAGTTATAAAGTGCATTCATGCGTCATGCATCTCATATGCATGTGTTTGTTGTTTGCAGTGGGACAGGATTTAGTGTGTGTGTGTGTGTGTGTGTGTGTGTGTGTGTGTGTGTGTGTGTGTGTGTGTGTTGGGTTGTATTGATTTCATGTCAGCGAAAGCAAGATAATCAGTCAGTTTTTCTTCCGTAGCACTCAACCCTCTACTGCGGCTCCAAAAAAAACAGTACTGGACAATGATGTGTCATTAGGACACACACACTGGAATGCTCCGACACACACATGCACACACACAGTAATCCATGCAGGCAACGACTCATAAATGCATGTGCACATGCATTTAAATGCACACACAAAAGGGCAGAAACCAATGCAGCACAGCAGTTTGTGTTGATCAAATTGATGAATATTTCTTACTGTGCTGTGATAGCTGGAGTGTGTGTGGGAGGGACTGTGCACGTGTCTGTTGAGTCAATGCATGTGATGAACAGAGCAGAAAGGAGAGGGAGAGGTCATAATGTATTATTATTATTATTATTATTAAATATATCATTATCGAGGCAGAAAATCTGGCCTATTTGTATCGATTTATGGAGTAGGAAGCATGCAATAATGAGTATCCATATGTGTGAATGTGCGTGCTCGCCATTTAAAACTGAATGGTGTTTTATTGAAGTATGTTGGGGTTTATTATTTGAAATCAGTGCAAGGAAGAAAATATGTATATATATATTTTTTTTTTTTCATGTAACCATGAGTTATATATCAGATGTACCTCTTCACTGCATGGCTCTCCCTGGTGAGTGACAGAAAAGCCACCTTTCATCTGTGTGCTGTCACTTAGCTATTATAACCTTTTACTCTACCTACCATCCCTGCTTGTTGTCACAGAAACCGCCCTGGAAGCAGGGGTCTTTCCATAGGAGAAAAAGCATGAGCCTATACTGTGCTCTGCCAGAGAAGACAATATGGTGCAGTGCCTTGCTGGATGCACTTAAATGCAGAAATTATAACATGCTCTTTAGATAGTCACTTTACAACTTTAAATGCGCCCTAAGTGGCTTTTAAAGAGCAACTTGCAGGTTAGAGCCCCCAGTGAATAAATCTGTAGGAAAATTATGTATACACTAGATTTTCATAAACATATACATAACTATACACTACAGTGACATCTGGCGTCGTTTTTGTAAGACATTTTTACTTCCGCGTGTGACGTCCCATGGGGGAGAGCGGCCGGTCTAACGTATTAATAAACATCGATCACAATCTTTATATATACAGTCTATGATCACAATGCTAGTTTTGACACAGAAGAGGTTGAAAATGTATATTCGTATGCATATGACGGACCACAACCAAGCCCTTCTTAACCTGCCATCAGGCCCTGGGGCTGATAGGTTTTGTATTTAAACAACAAATCAAAGTCATTTATAGCCTCGGCAGGCTCTGTGATCGCACTTCTCCACTCTGCTCTACGCGCGCCTGGTCCTCTCCTCCAGATGAGTGACGTATCGGGCCTCCCTCATGTATTTGTCCGGTTGCCGTTGGCTCCCCTCCACGTAGCAAGTCCTCGTCGTCCTCTCCATCTCCTCCAACAGATAATGTCCCTCCTGTCTGTTCCTCTTACTCCATCGCTATCAGAACCAGGCGGCCTACTTGGCTCCAAGGCCCCGCGGCCGACACCGCTGCCGCTCGGTACAGAACTCATCTGTCCTTCCTCCTCATCCTGGCCTTCAGGTTTAAAATAACCTGTAAGCTTCGGCATGTTTTGTAATAGCTGCTTGTCTCGAAACTCCTTTTCCCTCAACAATTTCCTTTCCCGAGCGCCACTCTCAAACTTTTTCTTCTCCGACATTTTCTCCTAAACAACCTTCATCTGTCACTCAATCACTCGCAATTTGAATAAATCACATGTGAAGCATATTCTCATTCTGATTGGCTGTTAAGTGGTGCCCACTGAGTGTTACGGAGTCATCATTTTTGAGAAAAATCTCTGGAATCCATCGATCTGATTGATTAGCGGAGCCAATGATCAAAATAGTATGGAGGGAAGATATTTTCGTTTGGATTACTGGTCTGAGGGAAGCTCACGAGTGTGTGTGTGTGTGTGTGTGTGTGTGTGTGTGTGTGTGTGTGTGTGTGTGTGTGTGTGTGTGTGTGTGTGTGTGTGTGTGTGTGTATACGTGTGTGTATACGTGTGTGTTTGTGTATTTTTGCGTTTGTCTGTATTGTGTTTGTTTCCCGGGGAAAACACTCACGAGAAACACCGGCTGTTGTTGTGCTTGCTGTGACGTCAAGTTATTCCGTTCTCCGCTTGTAATTATGCCGTCACAAGCTTGAAAGCTGTATTTATCATCTGAATTTGCCGAAACAAGTTTAATATTCTGAAAGCCAAGACTTTGTTCAATTGAAATCAGATGAAAACAAACTGTAACGGACCCTGCCGTATTATCTATGATTACTATACGCCTGACATTAATAATTTCAGCGGAGGGAGGCGAAGCGGCGCTGTGGAACAGCAGAGTGGTGAGGGAGAGCTGTCTTCTTCCCTTTACAAGCTTCAAAAATGTATTTATCGTGTGATTTTGGAAAAAAAGTTCCATATTCTGAAAGCCAAGACTTTGTTTTAAAAAAACACCCGAAATAAAATAAATATATATTTGAATTTTTTTTTTTTCTTAGTTGGCTCATGATAGGCCCCCGATCTCCGTAGGCTCCTGGGCTTCAGCCCAGCTCAGCCCGTGCATTAAGGCGGCCCACAACCTTATAATTATGAGCCTGCTAGTGAGACCAGGAGCAGCCAAGGATTAGAAGAAATAACGGCCATCGTAGAGAAATGGAGCTTTGGTGTGAGGAGAACCAGTGGAGAACAGAGCAGCTGTCTTGGTGAGTGACCGGCGTAGCTACAGTTAATGTTAGCTAACGTCGTTCACATCACAACATTGTAAAGTTAGCAATCATATATCAGGCTATAACTAAAGTAGTATTGATAATATAGTAACGTTACTGGCAGGACTGTTGATACTGATCCAAAACAGAAACTAGCGCAAGTATCAGCCGTATCTCGCGTTACCTAATGCAACTCCACACTACGTCTTACGGTGCTGTGTACCAGAGGGGAGAGAGAGAGAGGAGCGAAGGGGGGGAGAGAGAGAGAGGAGCGAAGGGGGAGAGAGAGAGAGGAGCGAAGGGGGAGAGAGAGAGAGGAGCGAAGGGGGGGAGAGAGAGGAGGAGAGAGGGGAGAGAGAGAGGGGAGAGAGAGAGATTTAATACGGTTTCCTGATAACGTTTTGTTTGATAGGCCTCAGTATGTGCTGCAGGGAGGTGGATGCACCTCGCACAACACACCCAGGAACGAAAGCTAGCTCCGGTCCTGTTCCTGTTAGGGAAACTGTGGACTCGATGTCCTGACAGGCTGGAGTTTGTGCAACCTGCACAAGCTCACCATGATTACAAATGGTGAAATGCAATGTGAAAGTACAGAAACAATACCAGCTCACTAAATCACAACCGCTCAAACCAACTACAAACTACTACCGCGGATTAGGCAGCCAAGGAGTCGGAGAAAGTTGCTCCCCCATGTGACGTAATATGACACGTTTGATGTAAAAAAAACAGTTTTTAGTAGCAGAGCTCA